GGGCCGGAGCCTCCGCGGCGGCGGCGCCCGGAGCCCGGGCGGGAAAGATCCTCGGGATTGCCCGGCCGCCCCTCGGGAGAGAGCGGGCCGGAGCGCCTGGGTAGCCTGGCCGTACCTACTGTCGTTATTGATTAACCAGGGGGAAAGTGGAACCGAAAACTTTATTTACCACTTTTTTTTTTTTTTTAACCTCTTTTAACAGATCAGCGCCCGTGTCCCGCAGAGGGCCCGTGCGGCCGCCCGGGAGCTCCGGTTCCTCGTCCCGGCACCGGGGCAGCGCCCCCCGGGCTGCCCCGTCCGCTGGCGCTGGCCTTGCAGAGCGGCTCCCTTCCTCGCTCCCGTGCTCAAGGTCTGTTTGCTTTTAATCCCGAATTCTGCCCTCCTGGTTGCTGTTCCGTCACCCGCACTGAATTTGTGCTACAGCTGACCCCTCTGCTGTAATCTTCTGCGTATCCCTCGTGCTCGGTGCCGCGAGGGTGCTGTCACACGTGGGCCCGAAGATGTTTGTTGTCTTCCTGCCTGCTGGGGCTCTTCTCGTTCCTGGTGTGGAAAGCTTGGCTCTTCCCTTGCTCAGCCCGCTGGCCTTGGCTGTGGTGGGTGTTCTCATCACCCCCGGGCGCTCTGGAACGCGCCGACAGCCACTTGCTCCTGCGGCTGCTGGTTTGGACTGCCTCATTTTGGGTTTCCGGAGGACTGCGTGTTCTCTAAACCTGCCCTCTCATTTTTTAAGGGCTGAGGATGCTATTAGTGCCTTTAGTTTCCTCTCAGCTTTATCCATCTGCAAAGAATTGATCTGTTCTCTGCTCCGGATCTGGCCTGTGATTGTGTGAGTGCTGCTGCCCGTGCCTTTGTTCTGCTCTGCCCCAGCCCGGGCAGCGAGAGGCTGCCGTGCCCTTGGCACCCGGTGCTGTTTTGCTTCCCTTGGGTCACCACTGTTGCTGCTTCGTACCACGCTCCCTGCTCCGTGCCCTCGTTTGTTGAAGAGGGCTGAATAGGTTGTGTGTGGCCTCTGCTGCCTTTCTTCCAAGCGCAGCTGTGCGTGTGGCTGCCGCTCGCTGCCTGGCCCCTGCTCGGCCAAGCGCTCGAGCTCCCTGCTAATTCGGATGGGTTTTACCATCTGCTTCCCATCGCTTCTATGGGAAGGTGCTGCCTGATGTTTTCATGGGGGTTTTGTCGTATACAGCTCCTGTAGTTGCTGTTGCTTATGCTTTGTTAGCTTAGTCTCGGTTCATTAGCTTAGTCTCAGTTCATTATCCACTGTTAGACTGGTGGGACCTCTGGTTCAGGTGCCCCCTCTCCTCCTTCAAACACACTATCCGTGTGCGTTTTGGGGAGAAGAGGGTTGTCCGAATGGCAACAAAAAAGGAAGTGACAGATCTAACGAAACCACTGCAGGCCACAGCATTTCACCTGTTAACCCCCTCAGTAACCTGCACCCTGCTCTCCCCTGTCAGTGGCTGCTCGGTGGCTCTTCATCCCCCTTTGTTCTTGCTCTCAGTTTTTGTTTTTTCTCTTACAAGGGTTTCTGTGCCACCAGGAAGCACTACAGAGTGTTTTCCCATCAGATTGTCTTGGCTCTCGGCATAGTAGCTTGTTGTGAGCCTCGTGGATGCCCGTGCTAATTGCAGCCTCAATAAATTACGCATCATCTTTTGATCTTCATCTATAAGCTAGGGCAGCTCTTATGTTCTGCCTATCGCGTGATATCAAAAAAGCTTCCCGTAGGCTTTTTCCTTAAAGTTTACGGAGGAATAATACAGAAGAGAGCGTAGCAATAAATATGGTGATTTGTTACAGAACACTTATCATTCTGCCACTTCAGGCTTTCATGTTCATGTCTCCTTCCAGGCTAAAAGTCTCCGTAGCTCCTAACACGTCGTGTTTTGCAGTGTCTCCCGTCGTTCCCTTCAGGCCCAACATGTGTGTGCCGATGCCCTCGCGGGATGGAGCGGAGCTCGGCGCGTGCCGCTGAGGGGCCCCGGCGTGGCCAGGTGAGACCCTCTCGCCCGGAGGGCTGCAGGGCTGAGCTTTGTCCCCCGCTGCTCCCGGGCAGTGTGTCCTGCTCAGCATTTCCGAGTTCATGCTCCGCTTTTCGGGTTTATGCTCTTCCTTTCTGCTGAAACGGTGCTTGCTCAGTGGGTTTTGAATTCATTCATCTCTTTAAAGATGCACAGGCAGAGGTAGTTCATCTTAGGTTCATCTCAAGTGTCTGAGTGGGATTCTGTCTTGTCACTTTATACTTTGCATTTCCTTGTGTCCCGATGACTAATTTTGTTTTTCCTTCCTGATCTGTACGTGGTCACTGTGAACTTGGTACTGTTGTGACAGCAGTTGTGCCAGGCTGAGCCGTATTGCCTTTTCTATCCTCATTGTGTCCTTGGGCTCTCATATCAATCCGGTGTTCAAGGATGGCTCCTGATTTGGGACAGCCCAGTGGAATGTGTTTTGACAGGGCTTGTAGTTATTTGGTACTAGTTTCTATCATGGTGGCCCAGCTTGAGTATAAAAGGTTTGGGCAACTCTGCTGTGGCAACCTTGGGTATGGATAGCCCATTTTGGGGTACTCAAGGGTACCCCATCTTGTTTATTCATATGCATTTCGGAACGTCTCGGGTGTTTTGTTGGACACGAGGAGAAGGACCAGTTTTGGTGGCATTTTGAACCACGTAGGGTCCAGTATTGACGTGACCTCTTCAATTGCTTAAGTACACATGTTCTAGCTGGTATTAATAGACCTTGAATCCTGTAGTACACATAGGCTGCCCCCTAACCTCTCTCAAAAGATTTTGCAGTTTGTGTGTGTCGTTTTATGTGACTGCAGGCATATCTAAATATAATTGTCCCAAAAAAGCTTGAATTGTAATCCTTTTGAAATTACTGAAGAAGCTATTTAGGAAAAGTCCAAAATGAGTGACTCATGCCCATGCTACCAGCATTATTTTTGAGAGCTTCTTAAATGATTTTTGGGCCTTCTGCGTTTTTTTTTTGGACACGAATCCATAATGCACAAACACGTTTGCTGGGACTGTTCTTAGGCCGTCTCTGTTGGTGCTTTGCCGCCCACCTTCAGTGCTGCTCCTGACCCGTTCACGTAGCCCCTTCCTTCCCTCGGACGCTTCCCTGGCTGTTCTCGCCTGTGGGCGGCCTCCTCCTGAGGTTCCTCGTGCAAGCCCAGGCTACAAGGATGCTTTGTTGCTGTGAGATCTGCGGAGGGGGGAAGGAAGTGCTGGGCAGAGGGATCTATCCCTGTTGATCCTCCCACCCACATCCCTATATTTCCAAGCTAAGGGCTGCAGCAGGAGCTTTATTTCTTACAGGATGTGGGAGCTGTCTGAGGAGAAGGTGTCTCTGAAATCTGGTGTCATGGGTTTTGCTGCTCCTCTATTTTACGTAACCATCTCCCCAGCATCAGGCTCTCTTCTGGCGCGTGCTTTCCTGGCAGGCTTATGACGGGGCAGAGAGCAGCAGGTCCTCGGGCCCCGTGGGGAGAAACAGCGTTGGGTTCTTGTTTCCTGTGGGTGAGCCGAGGCGGCGCAGTGCCCTGCTCAAGCCGTGGGCGAAGCCGTGCAGGGTTTGGGCCCGGCGCCGTGGGGCAGGGGTCCCGCTGCCCCCACGGCCCCTTGGCCAACCCGGGGAGCTGCGCGTTGCCCGCGGCTCCAGCAGCAGCCGCGCGTTGAGCGGCGCTCATCGTGTCCTTCCCACTCTCCTCCCCGCTGCGAGTGGGTATCCCCTGCTCCCTGTGCGCGCTGCTGGTCTTCAGAAGGGTGAACAAGTGCTGTGATTTGCAGGGAAGACAGCAAAACTGCGCCGCAGCTGCAGCCCCTCAGAGCTGGGGCCGTCCTCTGGTGCTGCTTGAATCGCTGAGAAGTGGCAAGTGCTTTGGCCTGCTTCCTTTCACCAGTGTTCCTTTTTTTCATGGTGGAGACGATAGCCAGTGTCACAACCTGACAACTGTGGTGAGAACAGGAGCTTCGAGACGTTGTTTGCTCTGTGAGGTGCTGTCTCGGGCAGTTGTCTGACAACCGACGGCGCAAACTTCCAGCCGAGACGTCGCTGCATTTTTCGGCAGCGTTATCAAAATCCTTCGCACATCCAAAACGTTCCAGTGTATTTTCTGCGTTCATAATAGCTTAGTCATGCCGTCTAGCTGGGCTCGTTTCTGTGGTCTAGACAAGGAAACTGTTGTGCCTTTTACAGAATTGTGTGGCTAATCTTTCTTCGGAAACAAGCCATAGCATTGAACACATCTAGGAGGAGCAAAAGGCAGGAAGCTCTGAGGTTGGTTTACGGGCAAGACGCAGCCC